GAGGTACCCGCGCCGCGTCGGACAAAGCCGCTGTGCCCTCCCGCGGGCATCGCCCCAGCCCCGCCGGGCACACGCCGCTCCCGGTGTCCCTCTGCGAGTTTTTATAAGGAGCTATAGAGAATGTTTCTCATCGGTGCTTGCCAAAAGAGTGGGGCTTTGAACAAGTTTCGCCTTTTGCAGATTTAAATTTGGGATTTATTTGGGTATTTGACTTTTAATGGGAATCAATTAGTTGCTGCTTCAGAGGTGGAAGAGTTCCTGGCTTAAGGATAAAGTTCTTTCCTGCCAACTTGAGGAAATGCAAAGGAAGCACCTTTGCTTGGCAGAGTTTCACTCTTCAAATGGCTGCACAGATAGTTACTGCTTATTTTATTGTACAAGCGTTGAGGTATTTGTCAAATGTTGTGGGTTGTCAATTGTTTTGTGTTTCACTTAACGTACTCGGTTTAGGCAACTCAAAGCAATCTAATCCTGCTAGTGTAAATAAGTTAATGTGATTACATACTAATTTCTTCAGGGCTCTTTGAAGTCTGACTGCAAGTTTTGCACTACATTATTTTATTTAAGGCTGTATGTTAGAAGTCGTCAAAGCTTAAGTGGATTGGATGCTCATGTTAAATAGTGACTAAAACAGGGTTTTGGGAAGATGGTCTAGTGTTAAGTTTGCTAAACCACAATTTTCTGTGTGCCATGGGAGTTTCTAATTACTGGTAACTCTTTTCTTGCGTACGTTATATGCACAGCAGCTTTTTCTGTGTCTGCAAACTTGTGATTTGGCCTCTACATCTTCCAGGGTTACCTGAAAATAACTGTCAGGTGGAAAACAAAAGTTTTGTGTTGACTGTGTAACTCTTGACAACTTCATAGGACAACGTTTCTGCTTCATTGGCCTGGACTTGAAACAAACAAAAAGAAGTACTAACAACTTATGTATCATATTTCTTGTTTTTCTCCTTGTGTCATGTCTTGGTTCCTTCTTTTAAACAATCTAAGATAATGATGTACTAAGCTTAATCCATTTTTTTTATTATCTGATCTCTTCCCAGATTTCTTCCTGAAAGGATGGTCCCTTTTAGTTTCCCTCTATCCAAGTGTGCACTGTGGGACCCAGTCCCTATGGGGGATGTCATTGGTGCACACATTACCTATTACAGGTATGAATAACCTTTCTTGTGTGGATAAAGGTTAAAATAAATGATTAATCACAGGATTCAAAGCCTCATTTTATCCTTTGATTCTATTGTATGGCAAGGCACAAGGGAAAAGGAGACTGTATGTTTGCTATAAGCATATAGGGATTTTCACTGGAAAGATGTGAGTTTCCCTTTCCATGGTGTAACAGTCAAGTGGGTTAGAGGTGCCTCAGTTCAAAGTAAGTTAGTTTCCTGCAGTTTTCTTCCCATATGGAGAAGTTTAAAAGTAACTGCAGATTTGTAGTTTTCTTCAACATCATTTTCCTTGTCTCTAATTATCGACAGAGGTAAACACGTTTGTAACAAGCTAAATAGTGTGCCTCAGGGAGAACCTGAATGTAAGCATTTGGCTTCAGGCATCTGCATTAAAATGCTGTAAGTTCCCGTGTTTGGGCATTTGGGTTTTTTTGTTTAGAATGAGTATAAAGGCAGATTTGGAGCACTTGCAAATATCTAGGGCAGGGTATTCTAAATCTGACTTGAAAAACAAACGGAGGGGGGAAATTGATCATTATTACTTAAATGGGTGATTTTATATAGGTGCTACAAAAACTTTGCTGTAGTTATTAGAGCAAGGGTATGGATATTTGTGCGTGAGGGTGGGCAGCCCTTACGTACAGGTCAGGGGTCTCCACTGAAACTTCCACATAATTTTCTTTGAGTTAGTTAAAACTTGAAGGTTTTAATATTAAGTTTAAAGTAAAATAATTTTATGGTGGCACTTCACTGAGTTAACCTTGAGCAGGTGGGATGTGAGCCACCATCACAGTATTCACTTAAACCTTCACATTCTGCTTTTCAGGTCAAAATCAGATCAGGTATCTCAAGCTAAAATAACATTGTTTTATTTACTGCCCTAGATTCCAAACTTACTAGATTATTTTACCAAATAGTGATAATATTAGCACCTAACCTTCTCCATACTTGCATTCCTGTGTCATTGAGCCCAGTCTGCTGCTGCCTTAAGCATCCACAGTAAATATAGTGCTAAAATGACAGAGCACCACACCAAAATTAGTTAAGCTTTTTGGCCTGTTCCACTCTTCAAACTTAGGAGACCTTTTAATGGTTCTGTGTTTTGCTTTTAGTGTTTCTAACTTTTTCCACCTACTAGAAAAATCATGCACTTGTGTTCATCTCTAGTTCTTGTGACAATATTGCCCTTCAGAAGAAAAAGCTTTTCCCGTTCCTTGTTACTTAGTCTCCATAGAAAGCTCTTATTCTCTCCTTGCTATTTATTCTCCATGGGAAAAGTTGTTTCCCATCTGATGTTGGTTTGCTGGACTAGTCAAACCAAATGTTCTCGTTGAGATGGTCATTCAAAGCATTCTATGGAGCTGCTCCAGTTAAAATATGAGTTTCCTGAATATTAATACTGGTGACAGGAGCTAAAATTTCACCGACATTTTATACAAAGTTGTTAATTCTTACCTATTTCTTGTTTAGGGCTTTGGCTGTTCCTGTATGTTTTCTTTTTAAAGGTCAAAAAAACCCCTCCATGAAACCTATTGCAAGATAATAAATACTTTTTTAAAAGCAACCATTAAAAATAATTTGTGACTTAAACTTGCTTATTGTCTCTTCTTAGAAACCCCAAGTTATCTATGCTAGAGAAGACCTTGCGGCTTGCCTATCGCCATGCCAAGCAGCATGAAAAGAAATGCCTTTCCTGTTTTTTGCTTGGGGCCCTTGCAGTAGATGAAGGTAACTTTAAACATCAGGTAGACAGACAATGTTGGGTTTTTGAGTAAGCTGTTTTGAAGGTTCCTGAGGTGTTGCTCTTTATTTCACAGATGGGGAAGGCATAACGCTAACAATAGATCGCTTTGATCCTGGTCGAGAAGTTGCTGGAGGGTCGGGCAAAATTCCAACTGCATCTCTTCCTGGAGACTTTTTGATTCCATGTACAGTTAATGCCTGGGGACCTTCTTCAGATAATATTTTAGTGCACAGTCCTGAAAATATCAGCTTGACATTCAAGGTAAGAAGCAATTTTTGGGTCACTTAAACAGAGACTGGACTACGCCCAGGGCTTGATTTCCAAGCAAGGTTATGGCTGAAGCTAAACTATGTGGTTAATTATGTGAAATGAGCTGCTTGAGTGTCATTGAAAAGTGTATCAGAAACAGTTAAAATCAGTTAGTCTTCACAGGTGTTCAGGGATCACAGTCTGTAATCTTGGATTGAAATCTTGATGTCTGACCAAAGTTTTTCAGCTGGTTTAACCACCAAAACCAGCAAAACAACAGTGATTGCAGCAAACTTACTTAAGAAAAAACAGCTTTTTTTTTCTTAAAACTAGCAGGGATGGGTTGCAGTATTTGGGCAGTTGTTAGTGTTGCTAGGGAAGTGACTCCCAAGAGATGTATAAAGTCTTTGTAGGTTAGTAGCTGTAGCTGAGGTGTGTGCCTGTCACTTCTGTGCTCTGCTCTAGACATATAATCTACTTAATGCCCCTTCTGTTCCTGTCAACTTTTACCTGTAGCTGTTGTGTGTACTTTATAATCACGGAAATAAAGCTTACTTCACTTCCAAGCTTTCTCATGACAATGCATCCACATGTTAAAATACAAAGAAGACTTTGAAAGATCATCCTGATCCTTCTCGTTGCCTGTTATTATATTGATTTTTAAACAATTTAAGTAACCCTATATTTTTAATACATCATAAAACTATGCTAAGATATGCATAGCTAATTTTCAAGTGTATTTTACATTATTCCTTGTATTCAGTAGGGCAATGAGCTTTGGAGACCTGAGTTAATGGCTTTTTGTACAGTATGTATTGCAGTAGTAGCTATGATGAATGATTTGAGGTCCTAGTGTAATACATCTTGAATCGTGATAATCACATGAAGATAATTTAGTGTATTTAACTCTTTTCCTTTTTCCTTACTTCTAGAGTCTGCAGCACAGTCTGTGCAGTAAAGAATCACTGGATCTTTCTAAACTGCTCACTGTTAGAGCTCACATTGTTTTCACAGAAAACCTGGATAACTTACATTTTAATTTTCACTGGGCTTCTATTACCATGGCAAATACCTTGGAATACACCCCTGTGAAGTCTGTCCCAATTATTCCAACAGCTCTAGCAAGAAATTTGAACAGTCCTATGAATATTGCACAAGTTCAAGGAACTTATAAATGTGGGTGAGTAAAAGGTGGGGCTAAAACTGTCAGAGTTGCCTGACAGTTTGTTGCCTTTCCTAAATTGGGTGGATAGGTGAGATCTCAAATGTACTTTGATTTTTACTAAAATAACTAGCACAAAAATGACATAACTTCTGGTCTTGGAAAAATCTAAAATGTTATGAACAATAAGCAGGAAATTGTCTGAGGCAGGGGGACACATTTCTAGATAACATAGTAAATATAAACAGCATTCAGCTTTTTAAACATCAGTACTAGCCCTAGAAGGAAAATCAGAAGTGTACAAAACAAAGCTTTTTCTGTTAATCATGCTTCTAAAGTATTGGTGAGTCATCAGGCTGACTGGAAATTAATTTAATAGGAGGTACTAAGTATAGATGAGGAAAATAATTTGAAGCAACTGAATGTCATTTGGAGAGAAATTTTATGAATGCATCTCTGAAAGTTACTCTTCAAATGGAACATGACTTGCACTTCTGGATTTGTTGTGAATGCTATTTCTGGTATTCACTAAAATACTAGAATTAGTACTAATGCTAGGTAAGTTTTGTCCTTGATAATTCTTTAATACACAGGGAGCTGATGAAAAGCTGAGGAGTTGGCTGTAACTGTGGAGTGAGAGTAGTTTTGATTTTTATTCCAGACTTCTTACAGTATTTTCTAAACTTGTCTTTGTCTTCAGGACTTTTTCCTGAAAGGCTGTCTTCCAAAATACTAAGAAAACCAACTTTTGCTTTCTTTCAGCTACCTTACTATGGACCAAACACGGAAATTGCTTTTGCTGCTTGAGTCTGATCCCAAGGCTTATGCTCTGCCATTAGTTGGAGTGTAAGTGTTTTGCCTTGTTGGTCCAGATTAATACACACATTGATTCAAGATGTATCTGAGGGATTACATAGTGGAAAGTTGGTAACCGAACTGTCTCTAATTAGTTATTTTTTCTTGCTTCTAGTTGGCTGAGTGGAGTTACTCATATCTGTAGTCCTCAAGTCTGGGCCTGTTGCCTGAGATATTTATTCAGTTCTTCAATTCAAGAAAGGCAAGTCACTTTTATAGGCAAAACATAGAAGGTATTGGCTGCTTAAAGATGTATTATAGAGAAATGCATGGCAACATGGGCTCTGTTCAAAGATATTTGAGGGAATTCTGTGATTTATGCTATATCCAGGTAAGGCTGTCTGTTTTAAATGTTCTTTCTGGTTTTCACTTCTGCCTGGAGAATTTTCTGTGACTGAATTGTTGGAATGTTGGGCTGATATCTCAAAGACAGAAGAGAGTAAACATTAATATCACTAAGGTCACTGCGTTGTAGTTTAAACAAGAAGCCACAAGCAGGAAACAGTAGTTTAAACAGTGGTGGGTTTTGGCTTTGAACTTTTCTTATGGGTATTTTCTTTGACACAAGCTTTCTCCGTGGTTGTGCCTGGCCAGCATATTGAAGGAAATGGATTTGCAGCTAACACTGTCCTGTTACGATACCTGTTAAATATTCAGATTTTAAAATAGTTTTTGCATTCTGATGTTTTTTCATTATGGTGTCAGTAGATAACCATTCCTCATTCTCTGCATCTTTTCACTTGTAACATTTGCCAAGTTCTATTTAGATGGAAGCTGGGAGGGAGTTCAGGTGTTTATAGTTTAAAACTGTACTTCAGGTAAATGAAACTAAAATATGCTGTATGCATAAGAATTTCTTCTGCTTGATTATGTTTTTAAACTATTAAATAAAACCACATTTGGTGAACAGATGTGGCTGTAGTTACAGAATGAACTTTCCATTAACAACTTAAATACATCCAAATACAGATAAGAGCCCAATTAGATTATTAGATAGGCAAGTAAAATGCTTGACTCTCATTAACTTTCATTGATTCCATCTTGGAAGTGGATTAGGGAGATTTGATGAACCATGCAAACAGAATTAACCTCTGCAGGCTAACTGCTTAATCTGTGCATTATATATTTTGAACTCTTAAGTATAATTTTGAAGTTGTGTGTGAATGTCTTCTTCAAGCATCGTGTTTCTACTGCTTCCTCTATCACATGTTACTTAAAGAAAAAGCAAACAAAAAAGCCCCAGAAACAAACACATTACAAGTCCTATAAAAAGAAAAATTGATGTGAAAGTAGTACTGCCATTTCCCAGAAACACACATTATTGCCATTATCCTTGAACTTTTGTATTAAATGCTGACTGTTCTTACAGTTCTCAACTTGTAGAAAAGTCCTTCAGTATAATTTTTCTTTTAAAAAAATCTGTTTGCTAATGAACATTTTTGAATGTTTTAGGGATAACTGAATCACTGAGAGTCTTTATAATACATCTTCAATTGAATTCTAAAAAGAAAACACAATATCATTTTTGCAGATATTTTCTTCTATGCTATTCTTGAACTCTTCCAGGAGCTCATTTAAAATGCTAAGTGATCATAAAAGTTTGAACTACAAAGGAGATGAATTATTCCCATTTCTCTACTTTGTTTGGAGTCTTGCATGTGACTTAAGTCATAAATCCCTGTACTCTATCTATAGCTCAGCACCACTTGAAATGCTGTGATTCACGAGTTTGCTGAACTGTCTGATACTTTGTTCACTATATTTGGAATCTAAGGGCCCTCTTCCTGTTTAGGTTGAGTTTGTTTTAAGGTATGTTTTTCTTCTGTTTTAGAGTTTTTTCTGAATCTGGGAGTTTTCTTATTGTGCTTTATTCATTGACACACAAAGAACCAGAGTTTTACGAGTGTGTTCCATGCAGTGGACAGACTGAACTTGGGTTTCAGATCTTAACTTGCCATGAAACAGTTCACCTCTTCAAAGTAAGTGGTTTGGTTTCCTTCTGCATTGTGGTTCTTCAAAATTTGACTTAGAAGAGTCATTATAATGTGATCCAAAAGGAACTGCAGTGTTTGAAGGTGGTGTAGCTCTATAACACTACCTTTCCACAGTGATTGCTGTAGATTTAGTTTGTCCCTCAAATTAAGACTTCCAAAGTCAGCACTGCTCACTTTAATAATAGCATTAAGGTTCTGTCTTTTAAATGTGCTGTGTTATACTTGGTTAGTGTTCCTTCCTACTAGTGACCTTTTGGCTTTATGAACAGAGGTTCAGACTTCCTATTGCATTTCTTAATCTGCTGTGCTATGTGCACCCTGGCCACATCTAACAGCTGCTCTGGGTGATGGTTTCTGGAGGGCACAGCTGAGTACTTGTGCTTTGCTTGAAGCTGAATGCAGAAATGAATTCAGTGGTTACTAATCGAGGGGTCTCTTGTTGCACTACAGTAACCAAGTATGATCAATTTTATCTTTGTGCAGAGTAACTTTTTGAAAGATTTTGATGGTGCAATGTCTGGGAGAGAGCTAGTAAGGTTTGAGGAAATCCTAGGAAATCTCAGTTCCTCATGTGTTTTCCTAGGCTGGTGCAGAACCTGGAGATGAGTTGTTGATCTCAATAAATGCTGCTATGCTCTGGCAGAGAAGCAGTGAGTGTAACGTGTCCCTGTGCTGTGTATTCTCTTCCCGATTCATTTTCCGTGTCAGGCTGCCTTCCACCTTTAGCCAAGGTGTACAGCTTGGCTTTCTGAAGAAGACAAACCTCAACAGAGGGTCACTTCAGTTGTCTCTGGGACTTGCCCAGATGTGGTGTGTCAAACAGTATAGGAACGTTTGCTGTTTCCTATAGCGGTGAAAGTGTGTGGAGGAGTATCTAAGCAGTTACAGCAAGGAAGCATCTGCTCATGGCTATAATTAGCCCAACTACTTTACAGAGTAGCAGGGGGAACAGTGTCAAACAGGAAGGGAAGTTGCCTCCCTCCTTGTAGTGGTGAAAAAATTGAAAGTAAAGGACAAGCAGCAAATAATCATATAAATGTCCTTGAAACTATTTCTTTGGAATTCATACCTCAGTGATGAAAAGTTTGAAGTTTCATGCTTCACAAATACAGAACACTTTTTATTCCAGAATGTTGAACCTTCAGACAAGAGCCCTATCCAGTTTGAGCTGAATGCAGAAAACCAAAATGCAGAAACTGAGTTCTTCAGCAGAGTTTGCAAGAAACTTCCTATCAGAAGGTAAATCTTTCAAATGTCATTTATATGCAAAAATGAAATATTTATTGGATGACGTTTTTGACCTCTTCTGTGCCATGTGTCAGTTCAGCTGTGCATACATATTCTTGCATTAAAATCTGTGTATGTGCTTTTGTTTATTCCTAGTCTTAATACTTTTCAAGTCAAGCTGACTGTATTCCAAGGGAAACTACTCACAGTTCTATTCTCAGTATTGGTGGTTCTAATGTATACAGTGGATGTTTCTAAAAAGGCTTCCTTACTGATGAAGCTTAGTTCACTGTATTAAGGTTTAAGTGAGATCTGTCCTTTGAACCACATCTCTAATTGAAATCTATGTAAGTTAGTAAAAATTCCCTTTTTCTTCTGGATTTTTGGAGCTCCGAGACCTGGATAGTTTGAAACTTAGGGATTTTTAAGAACCTGGCTTATCCATCAAATTTTTATCTGTGACTATAAGATGGCCTTTATTTTTCTTCAAAGTGCTACAATCTTTACTGTAGCACTTCCTATCTTTCTAATATAAATCGGTGCTTTGCTCTTAGAATGTCGCTTTCAAGGTGTGTGTGAGGCTGTGGGCAGGGAGAGTTAGTATGTCTTTGCCCAAAAGCAGCATTGGTATTTTCACCATATGCTGATACTGCACTGTAGATGGCACAGTGAAAAACATGAAGTTTCATGTTGTTGCTGCCAAATCTGGCAAGCAAACATTTTTACTTTGATTTATTTTGGGTTTAGTTCTCCCCAGGGCTCTTCACCCAGCAAATTGTCAGCAAGTGATCACGACTCTGGTGTAGAAGATGAGGATTTATCCCCCAGACCAATTCCAAGTCCTCACCCAGTGAGTCAACAAGTAAGTAAATAATTGTTCTGGGCATCTCAGATATGGCACTTAGAGCACCAAAACTCATTGAAAAGGGACTGTAGAGTGTAAAGCTTCTGTCTCGAAGTCTCGCAGGGGAAAACAGAACTGAAGAAACTAACCACATGTCCCAAATCCTGCTCTAGTTAAGTTGCCATTTTTCCAGTAATCTAGGCACTTTAGTTCCTGTATATACTATGATTTGGGAACAGAGATAGTAGGTTCTACTTTAGGAATCTTGCTACTGTTGAACGGAAGAGCTGTGGTGTCTGAGGCAAAGATAGAGACAGCAAACTACTGTGTATTTTTAGGTAAATGTAATAAAGATCTGCTGCTCTGTCCTTTTTTTTCACTGCAATGTATGCAAATACAATAAATAGCAGCTCTGATACAGTATAGGTCTAGAAGGATGTCACAGTTGTTGATTACAAAATATGTTCTGTTGCATCTATCTCCTGGGTCTAAGAATAATAAGAGAGAATATATAGTCCACTTCTAGAAGGGGAATATCCATACTCTAAAATGTGCTCCCAAATGACATGGAGCATTTGTTTGGTAGACATAGCTATTATGCTGTATGAAAGGAATTTTGCCCTTTAAGAATGATCCTAGAGATCCTGCTGCTTTTTCCGTATCTGGATTCTCCAATCTTTAGGAATGGATTTAATGTGTAGATGGTTTGGACCTGGTAATTGTCATATATTGATTTTAAATGAAACATGTTCTTCGACGAAATTCTGCATGTAAAGGGTAAACAATACATTTAAATTATCTTAAATTTCTGTAATTGTCCCTTCAGGTTACTGAGATTTTTCCTTCAGTTCCAGAACTGTCACTGGTTTTGGATGAGAGTTTCATAGAATCAGGACAATTGCCTAAACCAGTAGGGGCAGCAAATGCTAAAAGTCTACCCTCAGCACTACAGCAGCCTATTAAAAAGAAGTGGTGCTTGGGGTCTGTGTATCACCCCACCCAGCACTCTGAAGACAAGCAGAACTTTTCTGCTAATACAGGAGATCCTTCTTTGAAGCAATTACCAAATCCTATAAACCAGAAGGTTCCAGCTTCACTGCCTTCCAGAGGAAAGCAAGCTCTACTACAGCAACAGGTGCACTGTAAGAAGGCTTGCCCACAGTCAAGAAGAAATTCAGGATCGTCTTCTCCTTCAACCCCTTGCAGTGGGCCTTCCCCGGATACATCTGTGCATCACCCCAGAAAGCCATCAGAAAGAGTTCTGTTAAGTCCCGAAGATGTCACACAGCAGGGAGAGCCTCCAGTTAGGAGAACATCAATATCCAGTTCCAAGCAGCTTCCTGCTATGACTCAGCCAGTCCTCTACAACTCTGCATTTTCACCACAGAACTGCAGACAGCCACCAGACCTGCAGGTGCCAGTCCAAGTGCCACCTTGCTGTGCAGCATGCAGCTGTCAGTTTCCTGCTTCTGTCCAGTATAATCCAATAAACTCATGGCAAGGAATTGGTAAAATGAACCCCAAAAATGGAGCAGAAATCCAGTCAGAGATGGCTCAACAAAAGCCATGTGCAGTCCTCCATCAAAATATTTGCCCAAATATTTGCTGCAATCCAGGATATACCACAAGCAGCCCTATAAATGCAAGATACCATGGCAAAACAGGGAACTGTTCTCTGGACAATGGCTTATCTCCTGGAATGAGAATGCCATCAAGTGTAAGCCCCTTGAGTCTGCAGTTTTGTGCAGCCCACTCACCCTGCCTGCATATGCCTGCTTCTACAGCTGGATCAGATAATGGAATGATGGGATTATCTCCAGATGCATACCGGGTTCTTACAGAACAAGACAGACAACTCAAATTACTTCAAGCTCAGGTTTGTGGGAATGGCAGCTTTCTCCTCTGCCCTCTTTGTGATTATGCTTTGATAGTTCCCCTGCCAAAGGAATTAAATTAACTGTTGTCTACCCATGTTGGAACAAGGGAGCCTCTCCCGGGATGGAGATGGGCCTCGATTAGCTCTACTAATTGGTGTTCCTTAAATGAAAACTATTTGGCATTTGCCTTTATTTTTATCATGTTTCTGTAACATGAGTGTTTCCCTGTTTTGTAATGCAAACCAATATACCTTCCATATAAATGTTTTCCTATATATATACTTATTTATGTGGAAAAATTTGCTGCATAGGCTACAGGCTTTGGAATTACTGTAAATGTATAGGTGAAGCACAGAATGTTCTCATGTATTGCTTTGTCCACCTTCAACCCTGCAGCTCTCTGAGCTGTTGAGATTGTTCTTTGCAAACTTCAGGTTTTTTCAGAAAACTGGCTGGATTCATCAGATCTTTGCTTTGAGGGTCTCACTGAGTTCTGTTACCTCAAGTTTCTTCAAAACATCAGCCTCTTGATTGCACTGCTGCCTCCATATTTTGCAGGGTATGATTTGGGGCTGAAGAGACAGAGTTGAAATTTTGCTGCTGGTGATGAATGATACAAATAGTAAAGTTGTTCACAGTACTTAAAAATTACAGCTGAAATACGTTTTTGGTATAATTCTCTATGTAAAATTAAACTCTCAAAGCAGGGTTTGTGCATGAGAGAAACCTCTCTTTACTGCAGAAATGCAGCCTTCACTGTTAGGATATTTCTCCCTGGAGCTGTGAACTAATTGATGCACAGGGTGGATGCAAATCCTAGAGTAAAGACTGCTGGGCAACCTTAATTTTATCATTAAGTGCTTAGTTTCGTAATTAATACAAACTTGGTGTAGGGACAGTTGGCATACAAAGTCCTGGCTGGTAAGTTGGTAATAGGCTTTGTGTATGAATGAAAGGGACAAGGAATACTTCAGCCAGTGCAGTGCAAATAGGCTTTACTGAAGTTGTCTTGGTTCTGGCTCTGGCAGTGTGCTTAAAGCTCCTCTTTGCTAGCTCTGCCAACATCAAAATTGGTGTTTTGATGTGTGCTGTGTGCACTGCTGAGAGCTGGAAGATTATCAGACTTCTGTGGCAGTGCAGCTTGGATTTGAATCCAGGTCTTGGAGGAGCCCATTTTAGTAATTCGCTTTTGCCTGTTACAGTTTATATTTTATTGTACAAATCATAACTTTGTGATAACCATTACAGATCCAACGCTTATTGGAAGCACAGGCTCGCCAGGCTTGTTCCTCGGAGCCAGCAGCAGCCAGCGATGCTCCCCAGCCTGAGAAGCCAGGGGAGCTTGTTTCTATGGAAACACAGACCTCACCGGGTTCCCCCAAGAAGAAAAGTGTGAGCGTTGCTGTAAGCACAGGTAACGCTTTACTCTTTTAAAATAGACAACCACTGCTTTTTCTGGATGTTTCTGTCATTTGTTTGAGCATGGAGAGAGTGTTTTGCAGAAATGCCAAAGCTGTGCATGCAGGCACCTAGATCCAAAAGCCAGCTAAGTTCTCTAGGTGTTGTTTGTAAGTTTAGGCTGGAGTTACTTTTGTCTTTGGGCTGCAATGGCAGTGATTGCCATCACTGAAAGAATAATTTTTCCAATAGCTTTAGAAAGGTCTTCTATTTAAAACTGTACCTTATTGAAAGAAAAATCCACATCTTTTTTGACTTAATCCACTGTTTTGAAAAGTAATAGTTTCTATGCCATATAGAGTTCTAATAAACACTGTTTCTTGTAAGTCATGTGTGAGGAGGAGACTGTATTTGCTTTCATTTAGGCAAGTTATGCAGCTATATCTGTAAAGTGACATATTAATGTATTGGTTCCTGTTAAATGATTGGAAATACTTGGTTAGTCTGGAGGAAACTCTCAAACAGGCTCAAGGTCAATGCATTAAAATGATTTAATGCAACCATTTCTTTTCATCAAGAATGCTTTGGAAGAAACTGGGACTTGAATGATGTTTTGGCAACTCTTAGCTGCTTTAAACCCTAAATCACTTTTAAAATGGTGAAAAAACATGAATGGGAGAAAATGATTCCTCTAGCTTTTCAAAGTGAAAGGGTCTCAGAACATAGAAATGACTTTCCTTAAATGGGTAAATCTCTACTTTTGTCCTAGGTGCTAGTTTGTTTTGGAATACAGCCTCAGAAAAACAAGATGACTCCATACCACAAGGAAAAAAAGAGGATAGAGAGATTTCCAAGGAAGACATAAGCATTTCAATTAATGCTGAACAAGATGCAAGTAATACAAGTATTGCTTCTTCCTTAAGGGTGGTTGACATGCCCAGCTTTGTAGAAAGTATTCATCTTGTGGAAGAAGCAACTAATCAGAACACTCCCCAGTAAGTAATCAGAAATACCTTGTGTTCACATAATAGGCTGAACTGCCTTTCATAAGTTACTGCTTTCAGAACAGTTTTTTTCCTTAGGAATTACAAATAGTCACCTGACTTCAGCTGTTATGTTCTTTCCTTTCTTTGTTTTTTAACTATGCTTCCAATTGTACAGCTCACCAAAAAGCAGTTCCCTTTGGAGTCTGCATTTATCAGTCATGCAGGTTTAGCTCACCTACCTATCAGCAACAGCCGATGGCAAAAGCCTTTTCCTTGGAGAAGCATGTACAGTGTTGGCAGCTTTCCTTTTCTTACCTTGAATCCTGACGGGGAAAGAGAATGCTGCTATAGTTGGTTGTTTCCCTCAGTGGCTTTTCCCTGTCAGCATTGAGAACTCTTCCAATCTGAGGGGCTTGGGATGAGGAGTTTATTATTATGTGACTGTTCCCTGAATTTCTGGAGATTTTATATGTAATTACCTCGTGTGTAGTGAATACAGGTACCAGCTTCACTGCCGTTAATTATTTTTAAGCTCAGATTCTTTATAGTGCAATGACTATCTCAGACTAATTTGGGAAGTGATTTTAAAAATACTTTTATCTATATGGATGCTATTTTTACATAGGGAATAGCTCAAAAATTTAGCACTCTTAGTGATCTAATATCTTCTAAGTATAAAGTGCCAAAGGAGGGGGAATGCCCTTCCAGTTAAATTAGATTTCTAAAATAATCATATTGAGAAAGATGGTGGTAATTAAGCTATAACTTCATAGTGCTTGATTAAAGTCCTGTCTGTAAACATGTACTGCTACCATGATTGTTACAGATTCAAATCAGTCTTCTGAACATTGTATTTTGGGATGATGCCATCTTAAGGTTCTCTTCAGCTTGGATTCATAAATCTGTAAAGTAGCTGTATAAGTATCTTATAGTAAGAATGTAGAGCATCACCCAGATTCTTCTGAGGAGGAGGGGAACATTTTTGGGAATGATAAATAATTGCTAGTGTAACAGTAGCTGATAACCTACATTGACTATCTAGTATGTCACATGGTTTAAATCTTATCGCTTTCAACACAGGCAATTGATCAGTTGAGTTCTGAAATTCCCTTATCTTAGACTTGTCTCCTCAGGAGGAACAGGAAGGGGGAGGAGGGTTGCTTAAGGATCTCCTCGGGATGATAGTAGTATTGATATGTCTGGGCTCAAAAGGTTTATGCAAGACACACACCAGTAGCTGAAGGGGATGCAGAGCATCACGTGGTAACTCCTTCCAGAGTATTTACCCTTTTTACCCTGTATGGCTGCTCTTTCACATCTGCTAATGAGAAATATTTCAACCATGTGTGTTGTTCATGATACTCAATGTGTACATGTGTGCATGGATCAGTCTTCAAGAAGTTTTTGAACTACCACAGGAACCCTGTGGTCAGCTGCTCACCTTGGTAAAAGCAGCTGTTTGGATAAGTCATGTTTCAGAGTCTATGGAAAACACTTCTTCCTAAAGGCTTTTACAAATGCTGAAACATAAGACAAAATCCAAACTGTTAATAACTTACGTCTGCTTTAAGGTTAAATCATAGTGTCATGGAGTTTTTACTGGCCCAGAGAAGTCATTGCCACTTTCAAATCATCTTCTGAAAAGCTAGTCAGGCTGTTGTAATTTCACACTGAGGCGTTGCCTCAGTCCTCAAATAGCTATTGAAAGAAAGTGACTGCAGAAAGGAGCAAAGCCTCAAGCAGTAGACAAACCAAAAAATTGTTAGATCTGTTTCCAGTACTCGATTTTCCTCCTCCTCTGTTGTTCATGAAGAGATAAGGTACGTGAAGTGATAATTGTGCATTTTCTGTTTCAAGGAAGTATCTAGCTATCTCAGTGTTCTCTTCCAGAAATGGAAACGTTTCCCAAGCACTTGTTCGGAGTTTATCCTTGGGAGAAAGTACCAGTGTGTCTTTACAGAAAGAGCCATCGGAGGGAGCCAGCAACCAGGTGGTGGTAACAAGCGAGCAGATCTCAGAGCCACCCGCCTCGCTGCTGCCTCGGCAGCCGTCAGAGGATCAGAAGCTTTACCAGGACTTGCTGGTAAGTCATGCACATTTTCTGTTCTGCACTGAATGCAACAGTCAAAGCAGCACAGTGCTGAAGTTATGATGTGGTATTAGCATGAATGAAAACTGCTTGTGGTTTTCAAGTTCACATGTTGTATTCAACAGAAAGTTCCAAGTTTGTGGTTCTCAATTTTTTTTCAAAGTTTTCAGTGGTTGTTTTGTACTTCACTGTTTCATGCATGCATGGAGTACTGTCTACTATTTAATAAATAATAATTCTTTACTTCAAAGGTGTCAGTTGATAACTTCCCAAATTAGTGGCCTTTAAAATAGCACAGCATTTTACCTTCAGGTCCTTAAAGGGCAGATACTTTAATCTTGAAGAATATCAGTATGCAGTGTGCTTAAATTCAGAACAGACTCTTATAGAAAGCTTGAAATGTAAGATGTTCCAATGTTTGACTACACTGCTGTGAGTTTAAGTGTTTGCATCTGAGCTGAGTCTAAATTTGCCTTCTGTGTCAGAATAAGCTATTAACCCATTGAGTTGTATTGGAAACTGCATAAGAAGAAATCAGGATTTTGGTTTTTTGACAGCTCCCTCATTTAATGATGTTTTTATCATGTGATCTCTTCCCTGCTCCCTTTTTCTGTAGGGCCAAGTAAACCACCTCTTGAAGTCCTCAGAAGAGCAAGATCACTTACTTATAAAATCAGGATTTGTTAATGATGATGGTCCTAAGTATCAGGATGTTGATAATACAACAGAAGTGGCTTCAGAGGCTGACACAGGAGTGGTAGATAAAGAGAGTGTCATTAGTGCTACACTCAAACAGCTGAAGAGTCTTGGAGTGACAATGGACTCGCCTGGCAGGATGAAGAAAGATACACACAAAGTGGAGAATGCCAGGTAAAATACTGATGATTTTGAATAGTAAACTGTAGATCCAACTGAAAGTGAAGATTGGCTCAATGAGTAAAGAGAAGAGACTGTGTTCACTGCCACTAGGCATTTGTTTGAGACTTGATCGACATTTCCTGCAAAGATGAAACACTGGCTCATGCCTTGGGCATTTTGGATAGGTTTGAGAGCTCTGTTAGCAAAACTCAGATTATTTAAGTATAACACAAGTAGCTCTAGCTGCTAGAGCATCTGGTGGTTCTTGAACTATTGTGCATGCAGTAGCATTCAATTCCCTAGAATAATGAGGCTGCTTGAGTAATTTCAGTGCTTTGGGCTATGTATTCCAGAGAAACACTGGACTTGGGAGGCTGAACATTGAGCAGATATGTATTTTGTCATTGCTTCTTAACCTTTGTCTTGCACTTCACCAGTATAGGTGAAATTGTTATCATGGCTTAGGTATCTAATTAAAACTGGTTCTGTCCTAATTGTTTGTTATGGTGAGTGCCTTGCCTTGAACAGAGACTGCAGTGGCTGGAGAGGGAAACAGCTGGGTTGAAACAGAGGAAGGAACAGAAGTGACTTCTGAAGAAGGGCTTTTAGGCACAGGAATTTACTTAATGTAGCTGCTTAGGCATAGGCTGACTGCCTGGTACATCTTCACTTTCATCCTTATTGACCCTAGTATGTAGCTGTTCTGTAAATAAATCATCTAGCCATCTCCTAATTAATATCCTCTTCAGCCATGTACCAAAAGATTTTTCCAGTCTTAGTTTCTAACCTCTTTTATCTCATTTTCACTTGAATTTTATTGGGTGCTTTTCCGGAATTTCTGGTCTACCATCCTGGCTGGGATGGTCTGTCAGTGTTCTTTTAATGTCAATAATGTGTGAATAAGTGAACCCATAAGACAAAACTGGAGCTCTTGGGGTGTTTTGCTCAAACTTGGGGAGTGGGGTGGAGTTCTTCCTTCTGCCACTTTCATGACTGATAAACAATTCTGAGAAAAGGTCTCCAGCTCAGCAGAGAAGGAAACAACAGTCCAAGTCCATAGCATAATCAGTGGTGGTTGTTCTGAGCCAATTTATTCTCCCTAAACAAACTTCAGAATTTGTGCTCAGTGTAATAGGAAGCCTCTTAACTCTCAACACATAGAGTTTGAGAACTAGTATATGACGCATGTAATAAATGCACTGCTTTATAACCACTGCTGGTGTACCAGAGCTTGTCCTTTCAGTCTTTAACACCTAATGTATGCAAGAAATTGGTGTATTAAGCAACAGAACAAATGAACATTTTTCTTACTGAAGAATACCTTCAAAAACTAGAAGTTTGTAAGCTTCTGAAAACAGATACTATGTCAGAGTTTCTGTAAAAATCCTAGGATTGCCATGCATTGGGAAAAAAAGATGTTTGTGGTCTCTGACATTGGGCTTTGTATCTTCTATCTAATCAGAAATTTTGGGTTGGATGGTGTAATCTAGAGTCTTAGAATCAGAGACACATATTGTCATATTCACTGGTGAGAAATGGCCAAAACTCAGACCTGCTTTAAATCCAAAACCAGCTCTGAAACCTGCTAGGGATGGGTGGCTCTTCATGTGAGGGTAGTGTGTGCCAAATCAGGATGGAAGTCTCTAGCACAGTGTTAGGATACTGTGCGTGTGAGTAGCTGCTTTTCAGTATATGCAGAAGATATGATGTTGGTGCTGATCAGCCCAGTGGAGCTGTGGTGTTCAGAAGGAAGTACAGTGAGCAAAATTGTTATATTGTGAAATTCATCCTTTCCCTGTAGTGCTAAACTAACCTTTCGATGCTTTATTTCAGCGTCTTGGCGTGCATTAATCCTGAAGCAGTGGTGCCTGGATTAAACTATATGTCATTTGCCAATGTCAGCATGTGTGGCTTAACTCCTAACATTGTTGATCTGAGCATGGAAGCAAATGCTATAGCACTGAAGTATCTCAGTGAAAATCAGTTATCTCAACTGTCTCTCAGTCATTCGGGCCAAAATCTTCCTGCAGACTTTGCTTTCCAAGACATCTTGCATACAAACATGGACAAGAGCATGGTGGGTCTTAGCTTAATTTCACCAAACAATATGTCTTTTGCAACCAAGAAGTACATGAAGCGATATGGGCTGATACAGGGCAGTGACAGCAGTGAAGATGAAGAGGAACTGCAGGTTCAAAATGGCAATTCTGGCTCTGTCAAAAGCGAAAGCATGCCAGACAAAAACTGTACCCCTGTGTTGGACAGCTTCAATCAGTTGACTGAATTATCCAAAAGAATTGATGGAAGACTTCCCATCCATCTAAAAAGTCACAGCAGAGAGATGACTACTAATGCTTCTCCACCAGACTTAAACCACCCCGTACTAAAAAATATTGTGAATGAAATTTTTCCTCCCAGAGCAGAGCAAGCAGATGAAAACTCAGTTCAGATCTTAAAAGATTTAAAATCAAAAACCAAATTGTTACCTGGAAAGGTTGAATTCACTGAACAACCTGTTAGGAAAGATGAAGGAGATACTCAGGTCTTCCCTGGAAATCTATGTACTCCAACGCTCGAAACATTAAACCAGTCAAACAGCATAAATTCTGTTGGCACCATTCTGGATGTGAAACAGCTCAGGCGGTTGCCAAAGTTGTTCTGAACATCCCCTGAGATGGCTAGCAACTGGTGTTTCAAATCAGAGGGACCTCTCTGTAAAAGACACAGGAAACCACGGATTAAGCTGTCTTTGAAGAGGTCACTCTGTTGTAGCGCTGTAAAACCTGCAGAACTGAGTTTTCAGCCTAGGTTGGAGGCAGCCACCTCTAAGTGCCTGGCTGAGGCAGTGCTGATCAGCATTGTGTGTGCACTTTTGTTTACAGGTAGGTGTGATTTTAAAGCATCTAAAAGTTGAATCAACTTGTCCATGATGTACTCAATGTACTTTTCACAGGGATGATTGCCTAAATGTTCTTATGTTGACTTTTTAAAGACACTTTTGCATGTTTGTGCCAACTGTGAGCCACCAATCCTGTGTGTGGCAGAGCAGGGGTAATAGCTAAAGCACTGATTTCTAGGAATTTGCTGGACTGGTTGGATTGGGGGGGGGGGGGGGGGTTGTGCCTGGGGGAAAGTGAAATATACTTGTGGCTTTACTTTGCATAAAATTACTTTGAATTCAGCCAAAATGGCACATGTTACTCTGTATCATGAAATCTTTGAAGGAAATGGGGGGAAACTAGCACTTTTAAAACTCTTGTGATTATTTTTTTTTCAGAATGTTTTCTATTTATTTAAGAAGTACATACTACTCATAAAGGTCAAAGGTTCCATTAAAAAAATTAATCTTCAGTTGTCTGATAGTGCTTTTATTTAAGATATGTGCAGCTTCCCAGTCATTGTCAGAGTGGTTCACTGGAAGTTCACTGGTTCACCTGCTGCTGAACTCCTCAAGAGTTCTGATACTGGGTGGTGGGGTAAGCAAAAATAATAGATCTACTTTGTTCTGAATTAGCACATAAATATTCTGTCATCAAGCACTACAGTCTATTAATGAAACAGCTCTTTTCCATACTCTTGTGATTATAGTATTCTACCAGTGGAAGAATTTATTTATTGTTTAACAGTTCCATTTCAGTTAAGACACTGACTTTTGTCAGTTCTAGGTGTAGCAATCCTTTTTGTGGTTATGATGTGTTGTCGCTGGTGCTGGAATGCTCTGAGCACACAGCTCAGCATGTATGGCTGTGGTGTAACACACCCCTGTCCTGACCTCCTGGTCTTGGAAAGGAGACACTGGTGCTGGAAGTGGTGATTCATTCCCATTCCCACCATTCCTGATGGGATGACAGTGCGTAATGATGGTCAAGCTATGTGTTTTCTCACAGGCTGTAGAGCATCAGCTATAACGGGCATTGGAACAAATTTTGTTTAATGATGGCATTGTTTCAACAGCAGTTCAGCCTGTGGTGCTGACCTTGTCTTTCCTGCTCCAGGAGTGTTGAACTAGAGGTTAAAACATTTCTCACTAAACTCCTGGGCCCTTCCTAGTTGAAGCCAAAGAACTGCACTGTTAGTTCATGGTATGTTTGAGTGGGCTAATTAATTTATTACAGAATTGGGGTGAGATAAGCTATGTATCATTTCTAAGCCAGTACAGAGAGAGGAATTCACTCTACAGTGCTACAGCAGCTCCCTCCAAGCCATGTCAGAATTTCTCCTCTCACGCAGCCTCTTCCATCAACAAGGATATTTGCTTCCTTTCAGGAAAGGTGCTACTTCACTGTGCTGAAAAATAAAACCTTTCTCAGTCCCTGAATCTCCCCTGGATCAGGCATAAGCTTATTATCTGCCAGCACATTTTCTGCTGAATCAGTCAAAAAATAGTTAATGTTTTTGAACATTCCAGTGAGATGAATGAGGCAATTCATACCTCTGAGCTATTGTTGCAGGGTTTTGTTCTTTGTTTCCTATTGTAAAATGTCTGGAAACACAGGAAGATGACAGTTGTATTGGTTAATATTTTAAAGACTTTCTTCAAATGCTCGAGGGCTAGAAACAATTTGAAAACAAAAGCCAAACTACTTGCACACAGCTCAGGACAAGGGTGTGGTGTTATATTAAGTTACACAAATCATACAATCCTGGACAGCAACCTCCGAGCAAGCAAAACATTAATTTACTTGACCAAAACAACACCCTTCCCTAAAGCACCATTTTCCTTTTGTCATGTAGTGCTGAGTAATTTCAAGATGTCTGGATTTTTTTCCTGAAGCATCTACTGCAGTTTGAATTAAAAAAACACATGGAGAGCCAGGTCTGGCTTTCTTAACTCAGCAGAGGGGACCAAACTGGAGTGCTGGCTTGGCAGGCAATGACATGGGTGGTGGGGCAGCACAGTTTAAGGCTTTATTGGGTTTGAGTTTGTTTTTTTATTTCCTTCTGCTGTTTCTAGCTATATTTTGTTAGAATTAAATAAAAAGATGTTGGGCCTGCTCAGAGCATCACTGGCCACTTTACACTATCATTTTGGTGCTCCCCACCCTGATCGCAGGGTTTGCCGCCTCTGCGCTAGTGAAAGCTTTGTGAGGGGCCGAGCTCCGGGCTGTGCAGGGTCCGGGAAGCC